CTCAAAACTTTTGTGTCTCTTTAATTCTTGCTGTCTCAGCTCACTATTGCACTACTTCTGAGTTCGCTCTGGGCCTGCCGCCGGGCGGTTCCGTTCCAACGTAATACTGTCCTTGTCACTGTTAACGACTATAACACACAAAAATTCACGCCGTGTTTTCCCGGTGGCTCGCTCTCACACAGCCCTTTGTACCACAATAGTTACGTTTTCACTGTGTGTGTTTCGCGGTGCACGTCCACATTTCTGTCTTGTTCTACTCGCTCTTTTCAGAGTCTCTTCTACGTCGCCGCCGCCGCCGTTACGTTATGCACCTGAACTCTGGAAACGTTATATTGTCATCATTATGTGCCAGGTGTATTGCAAATGGCCTAAACATCTCAGGCAGTCCTTTTAAAACCATGGCTATCAATAGGCCGTCGCCTAACGTTTCACCTGCGTTCCGTAGCGCAGTGATGGTGGTTTCTGCCCGTATGATATAGTCTGTGACACTTTCACTGTTCGTCTTCTGAAGCGATGTCAACATGGTATACAAGTTTATTATCCGGGGTTTTCCCCTCCCGGCATAATATCCCCTTAATATCTTTAAGGCTTCTCTTGCATTGTCGGGCGCATCCCTCATAATTAGCGAGAGGCTTTTGTCGTCTAAAAGTTGTATTAGCTCAGCATACGCGTCTGCATTTTTCTTGCCGTCTGCCGCTATCTCGGCTTCACTATCTGGTTCTCTTAGAATCGTGTTCTTTAACCCTAATAGGTGAAGGTGTCCCAACACTTTTGTCTCCCACAGTTCATACTTAGTTTCATCTCCATCGAACATCAGTCGAGGCAACCTGCTTGTCCCTCGATGATCCATGTTAGCTTATCTTGCTATCCCGTTAGCACGCTGTTCGCCGTGACTTCTGACGGTGATAAATCTTCAAACTTCTCCCCGAATGACTCCTGGGCCCATAACCTGTTGAGGTTTAGGATGGCAGCTTATTCTTACGCTGCACTCGGAGAGAAATATTGGAGACGGAGACGATGAACTGTTTAGCCCTTGAGCATGATTTATTCCTCTGCTTCACAGGTGATTCCTTCGCTCAGCCGAGCTAACTTAGAAGAGAACAAAGATAGACAGTGTAAAGTGCATCAGGTGAACACACCCTCATTTACATGACGCAAGCCTGGTCATTACTTAGCACGTAATACTACAGTGCCTCACAATGGTACAATAACAGTATTACATCCCTATAGTACAGAATAGACACAATCTCTCTATACATACAATAACTTAGGACATACAGTATGTAAACATTTCCCTTAACAGTCCACATATCCTTTTCCAGTGAGGTTGCTACACTCACAACACTGCTGCAATTCCTTTACAGTCAGTCCTAACAGTTTTTTTAAAATCTCATTTAGAAAATCTTCTCTGTGATCTGACATCTTGTTTATGACCGTACGCAGTTCGACCGGACTTTTTCACTGGAAAAACAACAAACGAGGCAGAGCCGTACTAGCTACACTACACTTGAACTGTTAGCTTAGCCTAGCTACAAACCACGTTACCCGTCGCTCTCCAGTATCCGTCTTTACCGTGCTTTTCCGGGAACCTTTCGCCGTGAAGTTAATAATCTCGGTAGGACCTCCAAATTGTTACACCACTCAGACCGCAAGGGTATTATAGATGTAGACAACGCTCATTTATTAAATTCCACAAGGCACATGTGCAAGATGTCAGCATCTCAAAACGATCTCCAAGCACAACACGCGTTGGTGTGAAAGGGGCTTCAGTGGTGTGAACAAAGCGGGAGCAGTAAAGGGAAACCGGAGCTGAACCAGAAAAGCTCTAGCTCGGAGCTAGAAAGGGAAAAGCGCTGGTGTGAAAGCTGTGAAAGGCAGACACACTTCTTCTGTTCATCTCCAGCATGAAACAATGATGAACCATCAGGTGATCTGCCCCCTTGTGGTATAAACATGCATGTGCAGGTAGACTACCTCAACCTTATGGTTGCTACAGACACATAATAACTGATAAAACCTCTCCTTGGTGCAGAATCTTCTCAGTTTTGTAAGTTTCTCTTAATATAGTTTTCCAATACTTGTCTAAATATTCAAGACATTTTCTCCATTCCTCAAGACTTGTGAAGGAGCAAATGGGAAATGGGATGAGTCAGGAGACTTTGGACAGCGTTGGATTACAAACCTCCTCAGAGAAAGGAGCGGAGGATCAGGAAGAGAAGACAGAGGAGGGTAACTACAGCTTAATACCCGCATATGACTCCTCAGCCTCCATTAGGCCAATTAGGCCTGGGACTAATTGAACAATGTGCTTACAACAAGTTTGTTTTTAGTTTCATTGATTCTTTTTATACATACAATTGGCAATAATGTTAAAGTGCTTGTGAGTCATATTGTCAAGTTAAAGTAGTGCATTACAACAGACATCTTTGCTGTTTGAGCCATATGAGAGTTGTTCAAATGATGTCTTCTCCTCCTCCCAGAAGCTGTCCCCAGCAGTCTGGAGGATAAGTGGATTGTGATCGTGGACCGGGCGAGCCTGCTGCTCATTCAGGCTCTGTCAGGACTCCAGAAGCTGCAGGAGCAGAGCTGGAGGCTGCTGGAGCTCCACAGCCTCAAAATTGTGTCCTCCGGCATCATCTGGGTATCACTGCAAGAGGTGGGGAAAATTAATGTTGGGGTCTGTGTGTTACTCAGCTCATATTTGATGATTATAAAAAAAGTACAGAAAAAAGTTTACCAAAGCTTTCTTGGAATAAAATATTTGTCACCAACATTTTATTTGCCCCAGTTCAAATGTGGTGTTCTTTGCGCCGTCATGTACTTAAATGTTAAGTGATACCTCTTGATTTTTCACAGGTTTCTCTGATGAACTCGCTCTTCCTGGTTCTGTGGGTGTTTGCGCTCCCGTTCTCAAGGTTACGACCTGCGGCCTCCAGCATCTCAGCGGTGTGGGCTTGCGTCATGGTGGTGTGCAAGATGTTTTACCAGCTCAAAGTCATAAAACCGCTAGATTACTCCTCTAACTGCACAGTTGTGAGTATCCTTACATCATGTGTGTTTCTAACAGCTGCATCCCCTGTCAGTGGGCGTTAACCTTGTTTGTATTTCAGGGGCTGGTGCCGTCCAACAGCTCGGGCTTGGATGACGGGGCGGAGCTGAGGGGGAACATGGTGGAGCTGCTCACCAGGTCTATTCTCTACATCGAGCCTGTGGACCCTGTGTACTGGTGTGGAGCGCTGCTCAAATGTGAGGGCAGGATCCTCCCCTGTCTAAGGGTACGGTGACACGCCTGCCGAAGTTTAAAAACATTGTATCTTTCTTAATCCCAACAATCATACAAAGCTGCTCTTGAAATCCATTATTAAAGATCAAGTACATTAAATCAAGAGTGGGACCCTGCTGTGCATTTATTGTAGGTGAAATAGCATTTATAAATACCTTTTTTCTCCTTTTTTAAATTAAAAAGTAAGAAAAGTAAGCAATAACGAGGCCATAGGATGAACAATACATTTAAAGAACAATATTGCAGTACATACAATAATTATAAGAGGCTGGTCTCTTTCCCGCGGTTTATTTATAAATTCTTTGTGGAGTCTTATAAAGTAGATTTAGGTGTTTAACATCATTGACAAATAGGCTGGCATTCAGTTTTTCTGAAGACTATATTTAGTAATGGCCTTTTTATGTGTCATCAGCCAGATCTAAATGAGGCATGTCTCATCTTTAGTTGGACTGTCAGATGTATCATAGATGGAGCAGTGTGAATGTTAAACCTTTAACTTTTGTGTTGTAGAACCACCTGATGGTGCTCGGGCTGCTGGTGTTCGAGGCAACCGTCCATCGGCACCAACTCTACTTCCGTCTCCATAACAACCTGAAGACCCCGTCCTTCAGCATCATCTTCCAGGGCATCACGAGGCAGCACCTTGATTACGGCGTCCTGCCCTGCATCAAGTACTTCATCAACTTCTTCTATTACAAATTTGGATTGGAGGTACCTATCAGGAACTGGAGTGTGGGTTTTTGTATCTAAACTGTTTTTGACTCTGACTTAATAACATACCCTCACTTCTTCTTAGATCAGTTTAATCGTGGCGGTCAATGTGATTGGTCAGAGGATGGATTTCTATGCCCTGCTGCATTCCTGCGCTCTATTGGCTGTTGTGTCTCGGAGACGCAGGAAGGCCATCGGGGAGGTGTGGCCTAAATACTGCTGCTTCACTGCGGGGCTCATGGTGCTGCAGTACCTGCTCTGCATCGGCATCCCTCCTGCCGTCTGTGTTGGTATGGATGCTTGTAATTCAGATTTTTATGCAAATATAATATTGATATAATTATAAATTCAGGTCCCTTTTTTAAATACCCTGTCGTTGTATGGTCACCAGCTCGCAGAAAGAATATTTCTAAGAAGAGTCTTAAGCAGTTTGATTTAAATATATCGATGAGGAACTTGAGTAGTGATAAAGAAGTTTAAACTCTAACAATAAATCAAGGGATGAAGAGGCTATAGTATGATCTACACAAATTGATGAACAAGAGATTGAATAAAGAAACATGTGCAAAATATCAAGGCAAAGCATGCATGAAATATGTCATCAAATGATCTGTCACTTTAATAAGCTATGAATGGTTTGGTAAGTAAGATAACATAAATTATAGGGTGATATAACGTTATTCTACAATGGTAGACATAGAGACAAGTTGGTAATGAATGTTCTGTCACTTCACCTAATGATTAATTCTCCTTTCACACAACTTCAAAATAAAAAATGTCCCTGCTGCATATACTTCATGCTATATCATTGTATGCTTTTCTATTCCAATGTATTCTCTTACCAGATTACCCCTGGAGAACGGCACTTAGACCTCTCACCTCAAATATTATCAAGTGGTTTTACCTGCCGGACTTCGCCATGAGCCCCGATCCTTTATTCATATTCTGTGAGTTTAATTTAGCTATCTTTACTTTCTTCTCTCCTCTCCTGATTTGAATCTCTTCCTCGTGTCAGATGTTGACCCCTCCTCTCTCTCCTGCCCTCTGCAGACGACCACCTCCTGCTGCTCTGCTCCTCTCTGCAGTGGCAGGTGTTTGAGGAGGAGAACCGAGCGGCTGTGAGACTGCTGGCTGGAGACAACGTGGAGATCAGCCGTAGTCTGGACCCTTCTTCCTGCAACTCCTTCATCCCTGTCGATAACTTCCTTCACTGCAGGTCAGGAAAACAACAAGCACTTCTTTTCATTTAGTTTTTCATTAAGTATTTGTAATCAGTAAAGTAGTCCTTCTTCCATTTCAAATACCTTTCAGACTTCTTTTGGTCAGTTTTTAGGTTTATTTTATGTTATGTCATAACCAACAAAATCTTGATCTAAAGCTCCTTCTAACATATATATGATATCGATTTTATATTTTTTATATTTTGTATACAAAATATTTTAAAATAATAACAAAAAAAGAATGTATGATGTAAAAAAGTGCAGAAGTTAAAATGTAAGATATATAAAACAATAAAATAAATGATATAAAGTAGTGGTAGAGACAGTGATTGCAAACAGGAATGAGAAGTCTGTACTTTAAGTGTTTTCTTTTGATGTATGATTAATTTTTTTCTTTGCCCGACATGGCCCTGAGTGTCTTTTTTTTAAAGACCCTCACATATGCCAGGAAACTCATAACATATTCCATGACTTGTTTAGTTACTTCAAACAGCGTCCTGCTCAGTATGTTCAATTAATGAAAGCGGCTCTGATAAACTGAGACTGCTGGATAAGCATCTATGGACGTCTCCGATTTAGTTTAAAGGCTTGCTTCCACATCTGCTTGGGTCCTTTAACAGTTTCAGTAACAATGTAAAGAAGCTGCATTGTTTCTAATGAACTCATGAAGCTGGCTTTTAAGTCCGACCGGTGATTGTACATACAACAATCTCAGTTTCTCATGTATTGTTCACAGTATTTCATTAAATACCCCTCTTGAAATCTGTTCTGGCAGCATGTTGTTTTTTCTTTATGCCTCTCTTTCTCAGCGTCACTCTCTGTCTGCTTCTCAGGTGCTACCTCGACATGGCCAAAGTGTTTGTGTTCAGCTATTTCTTCTGGCTGGTGCTGTGCCTCATCTTCATCACCGGCACCACGCGGATCAACATCTTCTGCCTGGGCTACCTGGTGGCCTGTTTCTACTTCATGCTGTTTGGAGGCAGCGTGTTGCTGCAGCCGGTCAGATACATCCTGCGCCTGTGGGACTGGCTCATCGGATACACCTGCTTCGTCATCGCCATGAAGAACCTGCTGTCTGTGAGTCAACACACCAAAAACACATGCAGTTGTTAAGACGCCTAGCACTTCATTTATTTCAAACGTTATACAGTCAACTGTGCCTTCTATGTGGTTTATTTGTGTGTGGTCAGCTGGGGTCTTGTGCCTACCTGGACAGCCTGTTGAAGAGCGGCTGCTGGTTTATTCAGGCCTTCAGCCTGTTCTGCACCATCAAAGGCTACGACGTCCGTGAGTGATACATCTCAGCACAGTCTTCTCATTGTATAGTATATAGGTGTTTTCATATTTGCTGAATATAAATAATACAATTATACAGTTCATGTTAGACTTCAGAGTTACATCTTAAGAGGATTCAGAAATGAGGTTACTTAAACTACTTTGGAGCATTTGATGTTCTTAAGTGTTTTTTTTAATAGAGAGATAATGACTGAACACTTAATCCATGCCCCAAAAGTTAAATTAACGTTTGTCAGGTCAGAAGACCTAAAGGATGGACACACATTCCACAACATCCAGGGTAATAACACTTCCCAAAACAAACTGTCTATTAACAATCCATTAAAGTACATTGAACAATTGCATAAAGAAAAAGCAGTCATACCAAAGCCATAATTCTATATTTCAAAGATCCTCTTTATAAGCATCACATTCTTCATCCCATATAATACAATATAAATCATATCAATATAACTACATTTACAATTATTGCATTGAATTTCAGAACATGAGAAGAGCTGTTGAAAACGTACATAAATCAATTATATTTAGCTAGATCAAACCACAGTTAGAAAACAGAGACCTCTCTTATTATAAAATTATTATGCATATTTACAAACCTGTGTGTCACGGTCTTTCATTTGAGAGAACACGTCTTGGTTTACGCCTCTTGGTGTGAGAGTATAATGTATAATCTAAAATCTCTCTCTTTCATACTATAACTTACACATTATATGAACAGAGTCTAACATATTTCTCCCGCCCCGTCAGCTGCTCCTGACGATGGGTGCGAGCTGCCGGAAGGTGAGGCCGGCATCGTCTGGGACGCCATCTGTTTCACGGTCCTGCTGGCTCAGAGGAGGGTCTTCCTCAGCTACTACTTCCTCTATGTGGTGTCGGACCTCAAGTCCTCCAAGATCCTGGCGTCCAGGTCTGCGACCCCAACATACTTATAGCACCAGCAAAGGAACTGTACAATAAGGCAGAGGGGATACAAATTAGAAACTAGAAATTGTGTGTGGATATTATTCATTTTTCATTAATATTCAAAACGTTATTCTTTATAAGTGTTAAAATGTTACAGACTTGCTAAAAGATAATCTATGTTAAGCATGCCATTAGTTGGAAATAATTCATTTGAAATGAAGTCATAAGAACTTTTCCAGGAAACATCTTATTACAAAAATTAGGAATTGATTCTTTACACAAAATGTTGTAACATTTCTGACTATAGCTGAAACCAGAATATAATTTTTTACAGAGATAGGCTGTTTTTCAATATGACCTGTCTCCTCCTCTAAGGGGCGCTGAGCTGTTTGAGGCCAGAGTGAAGAAGGAGGTAGCTGCCAGGCTGGAGATGGAGAAGAAGTCTATGCAGACACTGAAGAAACAGTAAGACATTAAATAGCAACATTTAGTGTAAAGTACATTTACAACAACTCAGCTGTTCTGACTGTGAATGAAATAATAACATCGCGTTCTACTGTCTCCCAACACAACTTCCCCTCTTAATATCCCACTTTATCATCTTCCCACCCTCTTCTTGCAGGATGGAGAAGATCAAATCAAAACAGAAGGGTGGACCAGCAGACAAACCAGTTCTTCCTGTTGATCAGGAGCAGGTTACACTGGGTAACTAAAACAAATACATTTTCTGTTTCTACTGTTTATTAAACAATGGAGTCTTTGTCATTTGAAGGGAAAACTTCTGCATATATCTAACATAACTAAACCGATCGATCTGTGTTTTCCAGCTGACGATGAGAAGGCTAAGAAAGATGTCGGAAAATGGTGGAAGCCCTGGGTGTCTCAGCCTGGAGGTGAGAGGCAACATGTTAAACTGTTTAGAGCTGTTTCTGATCATTCTATCTCCTATTATTTGTCACGTGTTTTTAACTCTATGGCTATGCAGTAAATCAGTGAATTCAGCCTCTGAGCTGCACTGGAGCAGCTTTGGATCATTGTATGCATTGTGCTGCAGTTTCTGACATCGCTCTTTTTATGCAGTGGAAAACAACTGTGGCTACCACCTGTTTGAGAGTGACAGTGAGGAGGAAGAGGGGGACGACGTTACAGAGAAGAATGAAGAGAAACCACCACCGAAGAAGAAATCTGCTTTCCAGGTTAGAGCCAGCAAAAACACAGCGTACATACAAAAGAATGATGAATACATTTAGTTGTTTCCATATGTTAAATGATCTTAAACACTGATGGATGTTTCTTTATTATCCTTAGTTGAGAGGTGTGTTTGTGTCTTTGTTTTTCCCAGTTGGCGTACGATGCCTGGGTCAACAGCTCTAAGTCGGCTCTTAAGGACCTGAAGAAGGAGGAAAAAAAGATAAAGAAAGAGGAGAAGAAGAGAGCAAAGAGAGAGCTGCAGAGACAGCAAGGTGAGAGACTCTCACATCTAACCCTCCTGTGGTCTTCATTTATTCATGTGAGTCTTTGAATTCAAATGTTGAGAGGATGTGAGAGGATACTGTGAACCACAGCTGTTCCATACTGTTGTATGAAGTCATTTGAAGAGACAATTCTGAGACTGGTTTGATAGAGGGTCATTCAAATCATAAGGTTTACCCTCTGCGTAGTATGAACATGTATGGATAATTTAAACGCAGTAGATTAGGGGTGTCCAAGCAGCGGCCTGTGGTCCATTTTGAATTGGCCCTCAGCCAATTCTGAAGTATAATTGAATATGGCCCACACATGAATCTTGTGCTTGTCTCACAATGTACTTCTTAAATATTTCTTACCAAATTCTACTCAGTATTAATATGTATTGATTAGCCCCATTTTCACATAAATACAGTCAATTCAGGTTGAAAACATTCCCTGACAAATCTTAGTTGATAGAAAAAGCCAAAGTTGTTGGCTGATTTGAGGAATTAGTTGCTAACACTTTTTGTTAATGGAAAGCTGTGATTTAGGCTCTTTTAGCATATTCAATTATCAATAATAATCTACCTACATTTGATTGATTTTGCTAACTTAATAACTTAATTTATGAGGCCCAGCAATTCTTATATTTGTCTGTATGTGGCCCTGAGTGAAACATTGTTGGACATTCCTGCAGTAGATGATAAGATAAAGTATTTTCTTTTCCAAAATGTTCTTCTGCCCTTAGTGTTCCATTAAGTGGGCCATTAATTACATCTTTGCTTCATTCTGTCCATCACATAATAATCTTGTGTAAAGGTTGGCAATATGGCACCTGACAAAAAAGGTCAGGTTGGACAGATGTGTTGGTTCCTTGGTGTAAACCACACCTTCAAAAGCGATTCTGGAGCCAGAGGAGAGGTCAAGAGGTCACATGACTCCTGAGGAGGGAACCATGAATTTGAGGGCATTCTGTCTAGCAGTTGTTCAGACATCCTGCTGAAATATTTCAACAATAACACTTTCATTGTTCCAGGCATTGAAAGAGCAGACTCTAGTGAGGATGACCTGGATGAAAGCATTGTGGAGGAAGAGGGAGAGGAGGAAAAAGGTAAATAGACATAAGTCCCTGCATTCAACTGGATTATACCACAAGTAAAATAAATATGACTAAATGACTTTCTATTTGTTATAACTGTGATATGAACAAGCTGGGAAGCCTTACTCTAAACACATTTGTACTGTGATCACAGAAAACATCCTGCAGCGTGTCGTCAGCACCCTGAAGTTCAGCGTTGTGTTTGTGAAGTCTCTTCTGGACGACCTGACGCAGGGCCTGAACTCCTTCTGCAAAGAAGGCCTGGACATTTCCAAGGTGCTGCGCTTCGAGCGTGCGTTACTCAGCCAGCAGCAGAAGAAGGTGAGAGGAAAGGGTGGAGAGCTGATGATGGTTTATTCAAGACTGGGTTTGAGTTTTGGCCTCAACACGATCCATAGACATAAACAAATTCTATCCCCGAGTAACAATTTGGTATGACTTTAAGGTACTTTTATCTGACTAACATCTGTGACACACAAAGTGAGTCTGTTGCTCAGTTTTTTTTAATGAATAACTATATGCAAATATTTACAGAATTTGAAAATAAATATGTGCACTCATTATGTGAGATTTATTTAAATATGTAAAACCTTCCTTTATCTGTATTTCCATATCTTTCGTTTAAAAATGTGCTGTAATTACAAAATTGCCTAAACATTTCTTCTGGCTATTTTTTTTTTTTTTTGAGTTTTTATATATCCCCTTTATTGTGATGGCTGCATCCCATTTATGTTAACCTGTTAACGTTATGCGGCTTCCTCGCTGCAGGGTAAAGATGTGAGCCAGGAGAGCGTGAAGCAGTTTTATGAAAACTGGATATCCCGTCAGAACACGCTTTCTTCCCAAGACGACCTGGATGACTACCTGCCTCCCCCCTCCTCCCCGCCTGACGTCCCCTCCTCATCCCACGCCTATGCTAAGCTGAAGAACCAAGCCTCCAAAGTGTCCTGGGGCAGCAGCGTCTCCAGGTACTGGACACAGAGTCGCTCTTTCACATTGTCTTTCCTGTATATACAATATAAAGACCTGAATAAGATATTATTATTATTATCATTATTTCCCTGCTCCTCTTCCTCAGCTGTATGACGGACGAGACGCTGCTCGGCTCCCGGCAGCCGACCCAGGAGGAGCTGGACGACCCCCCCGCTGTGTCTCCTGCTGCTGACCAGCTCAGACGCAGGCTCCTGAGGACAGCCAACATCGACCTGACCACCTTTGAGACTGTTGAACTTTCACCAAGGTCAGGGAGGAGTCTTTACTTACTGATATGAATGCTTTTAATGTTTTTCTTAACTGGCCTATCCTGTATTTTAATCCTCTAAATTCCTTTTTATTAATGGTTTCTTTTTTTAAATTTAGCTTTATTTAATGTTTAAGTTCATTTTTTGAGTTTGCTTTTAGGGTGACTTTTAAACATCCGTCCAGGGTCTACAGATGAAAATAGCTACTTTGTTTATTTACAGCAATGTTTATTAATGTGCAACCCTGTTAAATAAACTTTTAAACATATAAATGAATAAAGATTAAAAAAAGTAATCAATATAATTGTCTACTACTTGCTGGAAAGTGTGCTTCACAGTTTGAGCACCTCTTTCTCAGTTTAAATTATTCATGCGAGTACATACAGTAGATGTACTTGAGCTGCAACGATTAGACGGCAAAGGTCATTCACTTTTATTTAGCTCGGGACCCCGGTCAGCATAAAGAAAATACTTGGGTTCCTGATTTACATTTGTCCCCTTGATAATTTGATGTAACATGTATATCATTTACTGCAGTTTTTTAAAGGTTTAGATTTGTTAGACTAAAATGTAATATATAATGTGTGTGTATAATTTTAAATGTATTAATTGAATTATGAAAGCTTGTGTTAAATTAAAAATAGCTTTTTACAGGCTTTTAAATATGGAGATTTCATCAATTTTCTCTGTTTAACATCGTATTCAACTAATATATTTGGGTTTTGGACTGACAAAACAAGACATTTTAAGAAATCTAATGGTGTTTGACATTTCTTTTTTTTAATGACATTTTACTAACAAAATTATTCATTTAATTATCAAATTCAATCATATATGAAAAAATAAGTAGTTATAATTGGTGCAAAGATGCAAGAACGTTGTTTATAGTAAATCTAGAATTCCTTAAGTCTTTCAAACCTGGCAGAAACCATTTCACTAAATAATGTCCTAGATTCTTGACATTAAATGTCCCTGCATTTCTCCTTGTCTCAAAAGTTGTGAAGATGGCGCCCCTAAAATAGAAGGGCACAAACAAGACGAGGAAGATGAGGAGGAAATGGAGGCTGAGACAAGACGTGAGCGAGAACAAGAAGAGATGGAGGAAGAGGAGGAAGAGGGACCACGAGAGGTGGACCTTGAGGTGGAGGGAGAAGAGCTGAACGAGAAAACGTCTCTGAGAGAAGTATATGAATGTGCAGATTACCCAGAATGCACCTCGCTGAGTTTAAGGGAGAGTGATGGAGAGAAGAGCATCAACCTCCTGGGATCCCCCCGACCTCTGAGTGAAGCCAGGAACCTCACCGCCAGCGAGCTGCTGCTCAACAAGTCAGTACACACGAGAAAGCATGTTTAATCTTTGGTAGGAGAAACAAGTTGCTTTGTGGCTTCACTAATGGCAGTATTATAATTTCTGTCTTTCCTTCCCTCCCCTCCTTGCTGTAGTATGTTTGAGAATGATGAGATCTCAGAGTCGGATAAGTTTTTCGTGACGTTGCCGCCGCCGCTGAAGCTGCTGTTCGCCCTCTACAACACCATGGTGTCCAAGTCAGAGATGCTTTGCTACTTTGTCATCATCCTGAACCACATCGTGACGGCGTCCTTCCTCTCGCTCATGCTGCCCATCCTCATCTTCCTCTGGGCCATGCTGTCCGTGCCCCGGCCCACCAAGCGCTTCTGGATGACCGCCATCATCTACACCGAGGTACAGTAGGTTAATATTACACTCTGTTGTGTGCTGTGTTTGACATAATATTCAAATGTATATGGGATATTGTTTTTAGAACAAATTGACACCAGACACCAATACATGTATTATCAAAAGCCTTAAGTTTTGTTGAATTAAACTTGATTATTCATCTTATCTGCTTTTTATTTTAGTTTTAGTAAACATGAGACTGTGACTTCTTTCTTAGATAAAATGTACGCAAATATGTGTAAAGGTGCATGTTGACCCTCCCATACTTGGGTAGAAAAATCTTAAGACATGGCTCCAGAAAAAGCTGAGTAGAGTCTGATTAATTGTCATATGCAGAAGCAGAAACTAAATGTGTTCTTGGGAAAACATTATCTGATCGAATGTTTCTAGCTGATTCCTGATGCTGAACTTGTTTTCTGTTTCTCTCAGCTGACTGTTGTGGTGAAGTACTTCTTCCAGTTTGGTTTCTTCCCCTGGACCACCTCTGCGTACCGAGGCATCAACGCAGAGCGGCCCTTCGCCCTGCCAAACATCATCGGGGTGGAGAAGAAAGACGGCTACGTCCTCTTCGACCTCATCCAGCTGCTCGCTCTGTTCTTCCACCGCTCCATTCTCAAGGTAATCATGATCTGCTCATTCAAATAAACCCACCTGCATGCTGCTGTATGTCCAGTAGGGGACCATCAGCATTGTTTTAATTCGGCTAGTTTGTCAGGTTAAAATAATTGTTGTGTCCATGTCTGCGCAGTGCCACGGGCTGTGGGACAACAAAGAGGTGGAGATGCCAGATTTTTTCAAGAAGATGAAGAAGAAAGTGGACAGGAAGAAGATGACAGGAGGAGATAAGACAGGCAGCAGTGATAAATCTAAACGCCGGCTGAAGTTCCTCCCTATCCAGGCCTCCACCACCTCCCTGTTCTGCAGACGGAGGAAAGGCGACTCAGCAGAATCTGATGGTAAAATATTCAATAATAATAATTCACGGTTTTTATTTTAGTGCTTTTACAAGGGCTCAAATTGTTTACATTACATAAAACACATGTTAGACATGTAATACATTGAATACTGTGGACAATACCCACAGGAGCTATTCAGGGTGAACTAAAAATCTAAATCTGACCAGTTTAAGAGAATCCACTGTAAAATGTTTCCTTTTTTTATTGTATTTTTTTCTCTTGTCCCATGGTTAACAAAACCCTTTCTCTTCACAGTTAACCATTGGGTTTTAAATTTTATATATAAACAACAGCAGATACTGTTTGTGTAATTGTATCTGCTGTCGCATCATTATTGCCTAAAAGGAAATTCAAATGAGTCTGTGATACTGAATAGCAGCTTACATTTAGTGACCTACTCTCCTTGTCTACTAGGCATTTATATTAATTCAATACGGTACTGTAATCTTCCTACAGGGAGTTATATATCCGATAGTGCTGTGTAGTGAGTTTCTATTTTATAGTGACCGTATTGTTTCCATATAGTGCATTTAGTTTTCTATATTTTTTGATTCAGGACTCTCTATATTTTTGGCACGCAGTAGCCATGCTGTAATATTTATATATTCATTCATTTACCTAGGGTACTTAATAATGCATATGTGTATTGCTTTATTTAAAAGAACCCTGTGCATGTAAAACTAACATTACATTACATTACATGTCATTTATTAGACGCTTTTATCCAAAGCGACTTACATACATTCAGTACTGTGGACAATCCCCACAGGAGCAATTTGGGGTGAAGTGTCTTGCCCAGGGACACAACGACATGCTGACTGCTACCCCCTGATTCCAAGTCCAGCACACTACCCACTGAGCCACAGCCTCCCACTAACAATACTACAATGTTCAAAATAATACTCCATTAGCAGTTTAAACTTGTTATATAAGTAAACTCATGCAAGTATCTCATATTTAGTATCTAGTATAAACCAAATTAAGTATTCTGTAAGCACATGTTGTGATTTGGAAGGCAGGTTTTACTCATCTGGTTGCAGGGATTAAAACAGAGATTTCTAAAAACATTTGTTTACCTCACCTTCCATGACTTACATTTCTTTCTTTCTCTTTTCTTTTTCACTGGAGAGGGGAAGCCCAAGAAGCAGCGGAGCATGAAGAAGAGAGGACAGCGAAACAAGATTCCTCTGACCAGGAAGCAGAGGATCCGACAGCAGATCAAAGAGAGGATGCTGCAGGCCAAAGCTGCCATCATAGAAGTGTAACCACCTCGTGACATTTTAGATATGTCACTATTTCCATTAACAGCTAGCATGTCCATTTTACAGCTTAGAAAAGTGTGTTTTAACATTGCATATGTTTCATCCACAGCGCCCTTCACATTTACTTACCCATAAGACAGTTCTTCTATGACATCATCCACCCAGACTACAGCCCTGTGTGTGACGTCTACGCTCTCATGTTCCTCATCGATGTAGTCAACTTCATCGTCACGATATATGGATACTCGGCTTTTGGAGTAAGAGTCTGCCTCAGTACACACACTTAAAGTGCCTGTTAGCATGACACTAACACACTGATCTTGGTCTCTGTAGAAATATTCTTCAGCGGCCGACATCTCAGAGTCTCTGTCGGAGGACCAGGTGCCAGAGGCCTTCCTGGTCATGCTGCTCATGCAGTTCGGCACCATGATAGTGGACCGGGCCCTCTACCTGAAGAAGTCCCTGCTGGGAAAGTGTGTTTTTCAGGTGGTGTTGGTGTTCGGCATACACTTCTGGATGTTTTTCATCCTCCCGGGCGTCACTGAGAGGTCATTCTGCTCATTCAGTTCATTCATTTGTTAGACTTTTAGATTATTCATTTTAAGAATGATTATAATAATATTTACATTGAGACTGAGTCCTTATTTCTAAGTGTGTAGGCGTCATCCCAGCTAGACATTTTTGGTTCTAAAAACATTCTGAGAATGTTACCATTCACTGTTCTAGGAATGTTTTCAGCGGGAAGTTTTAGTTTGGTTCCCAGAATGTTCTTCTGAAAGGTAGGATAACGTTCTCTAAAAACATTCTAGGTAGGGAGAGAGACACACAGTAGAAACAAACACTAACAGGGGCTTCAGGGACGGGCAGTGACTGTCGTATCATGTAACATTGAGGGAACGTTTTATAAAAGAACATCTATAATATGTTACCACAACAACGTCCAAAACACATCCTTAGAATGTTGCAGGCAAAACGTTCCACCTTTGTTAACATATCACATTAAAGGAATGTTTTATAAAAAACTTTCTATCATCTCAGGCGTCAATAACATCCTCAAAACATCCTCTGAATGTTGCAGTTAAAACGTTATGTCTTAGTTAACCTTAAACCTTATAGGAACATTATTTAAAAATGATAAACATCCTCTAAAGGTTCTTGGAACATCAGATTAAAACGTTTTCTTTAAAACATTATTAGAACCTGTAGGTAACGTTAGCCAAAGTTGTGAGAACGTTCCCTGCTAGCTGGGATACACAACTAAAAATAAATGAAATCATTTTCTTTCAAATTGTGTTTTAATTGCTTTGATTATAAGATAAAACACAATTGTGACCAAATTAAACAGACAGTGTTTTATTCATGAAACATGTGCACATTCACTGTGTTTTTCTTTCAGTATCTCATCATGTCTTTTTCGCCCCACAGGAGGTTCAACAGGAACTCTATTGCTCAGCTCTGGTACTTTGTGAAGTGTATCTACTTCGGCCTGTCTGCCTACCAGATCAAATGTGGCTACCCAAACCAGATCCTGGGCAACTTCCTCACCAAAAACTACAACTACCTGAATCTCTTCCTCTTCCAGGGGTAAGAAAACGGTTACAGGCCTTATACAAATAACTCTGTTACGCATGCTGTTATTGTAATTGTATTGAATGAGAAACAATTTAAAAACTCTAAAGACTCTTGATAGAGTCTTCAGAGTGTATTTCAATTGTTCTCTGTTAGGCATTTCATGTTAAGGATAGTTTTTATGGTGAATTTGACCAAATAAACTGAATAAAATCCTTAATTTTCCTTAAAAAATCCTTTACTCGGGTCCTGCTCCAGGTTCCGTTTGGTTCCCTTCCTGACAGAGCTGAGGGCTGTGATGGACTGGGTCTGGACCGACACCACTCTGTCCCTCTCCAGCTGGATCTGTGTTGAAGACATCTATGCAAACATTTTCATCCTCAAGTGCTGGAGGGAGTCAGAGAAAGTAATTGATAGTGCACTGTTACTACAGAACCTCTCACATTTAAAGCTTTAAAATTACAATATGTTTTTACAATATGAATTTCTGCAGGGCTTGTTGCCTTATTTAACTCCTCTACTCTTGTTTTCAGACAGAAACTACCATCCATATTCTAATTTAAAAGATAATTTTAGTGTTATCTTTTATCCTTTATGTAAAAATGCTGTATACAAATGTCTAAGATGACAGGAAGTAACTAATATGTTTTATGACTGAATTCTTCCAGAAATACCCCCACACTCCGGGTCAGAAGAAGAAGAAGGTGGTGAAATACGGGATGGGAGGATTCATCATCTTCGCTCTCATCAGCATCATCTGGTTCCCGCTCCTCTTCATGTCGCTGGTCCAGTCGGCAGCCGGAGTGAACAACCCCCCGGTGGAGGTCTCCATCCAGCTCAGCATCGCAGGATACGAGGTCAGCATGGAGACGAGGACACCGAACTGTGTGCTAATTTCTCAACTTTTAGAGTTCTTGTACTTATATTCTAAAACATTGAATCTAGCTGGCTGCTTATGTTCAGCCAGGGATTCTTTCTAAACAGCAAAGTTGCTTTTAGCTTTAAGGAACACAGCAAAAATAATGCAAGTGTGGTGTCTTGTGAGTGAAAGTCAAACACTTGAGTCTACAGCAATGAATGTGGTGTACAGGTCTTTACTGTTTTGAGCTTAATGCTAACAAGTAAAAATGCAGATGTTCAGCAAGTTTAACATGGTCTCTGTCCAATTACACTCTCATGGTGGCACTAGAAAGAAAGTCAGAGGATCACCAAATATATTAAGGTACATCTTCCTCTGTGAGCCATGAATTTCTGCACAAAACTGCATTGACAATCCATAATTTGTCAAGATATAGTTCATACCAGCAATCACGTTTTTTACTTGTCCTCTATCTTTGCGGGTCAGGGGACAGTACTTGTCCATCTCCAGTGTGAGTGTATGTTTTACTCTGTGTGTCTGATTGTGTTTCCACAGCCTCTGTTCACCATGACCGCCCAGGAGCAGAACTTGGTTCCGTACACAGAAGCTGGATTCAACCGACTCACCAAAGTCTACGCAACCCATCCAGTAAGATTTAACTTACTTTAAAACACTAGAAAAATAAATGTTAAAATTCTACACTATTATGGTATCTTTTCTTTAAATATGGGTTTTTAATAATTTTTTAATGAGACAGATTGTGTTGCCACAGGAGGCAGACGTGTTTTCAAAATAAGTAATTAATATTTGAAGGTCAGGAGAATGCACTGCTGTATGCAGAGACATACACAAGTAACAGTTTGGCTCCCCCTGGTGGATAAAGGGTTAAGTAGCATTCAACAACAAGGCATTTTTCACATTCATTTACAACAGAATAGTCCGTGCATTATTTTAATGTATCCAGGCAAGATTTTATGTAGGATATGAAGACAGTAACGTCAGGATTTTTATTTCACAAATTTGCTGCAATGAATACGGAATTTTGCTAATAGCACAATCAGATTAATAACATACATTTTCTTTACATGCATTCTGTCATCTAAAGTTTCTAAACAACTACAAGTAATCAAGTTTAGGTTGAGTTTCTAATTTTCATTAAAAATAATTATTATAAAACTGTTGTTAAAATAATATCACTCTTTCCAGTCGGCGATGCAGTTCATAATGAACTACGGTGCAGACGACATCATCGTGGCTAAGATCAAGAGCGATGCCAGTCTGCTGTGGAGCATCAGCCCGGCCAGTCGAGCCGCCATGATACAGGAGCTCAGCAACTCCACTCACGTATACATGACCTTACGCTGGTCACTGCTCAGGTCAGTGTGTGTGTGTGTGTGTGTGTGTGTGTGTGTGTGTGTGTGTGTGGTCGTGTACCCTGTGTGTGTGTGTGTGTGTGTGTGTGTGTGTGTGTGTGTGTGTGTGTGTGTGTGTGTGTGTGTGTGTGTGTGTGTGTGTGTGTGTGTGTGTGTGTGTGTGTGTGTGTGTGTTCGTGCAGGCTTGCGTGTGCAGATTCAGTGGGCTTGTATATCTCGTTGTAGGTTTTAATGGTTATACAAATCATTGTATAAAATGTGTACATTAAAGGTGGGGTAGGTAAGTTTCAGAAACCGGCTCGAGTGCACTAAAATTTGAAAGTACACAGCCAAAAAGAATCCGCCCCTTCCTTCAGACTTCCTTACAGAGCACCTCCTCCGCGAGAGCAGGCTGCAGTAACGTTACATATCAGGCAAAGCTAAACACATATAGGTTAGCAATACTACACAGCCAAAGCAACTCCGATATTGACTCTGGTTTGACTTCTCCTAGTTTCCACTTTCTTATTGTTCTTAATTTGCTCCGTTATATTTTTTCTTTTGCGACCAGTAGAGGATGTTGAACCTAACTCTGCCATGGTGAAAGTGGCCGCCTGTTGCTGGCGAGTCATTGAAGTACTGCTGCAATGCACGCCCAATGAGGGCACGAGATACATTTGTGCGTGCACGATATGGAAGGCTGACAGACAGGGCGGCAATCCAATCCGTTTAGCCGGCCCGGCTAAACGGATTGGTTGTAGTTTTTACAGTATTACGGGTTCCACAGATGACATTTTTTTATGGAGTTTTTGTCAAAGCACTTAAGATATTCATTGCTATCGGGATGTTAAGAGCATTCCATGGAATATAACAAAAAGTGTATCTCGAGCCGGTTTCTGAAACTTACCTACCCCACCTTTAACTGGTTTGAAATGAATTCCTAAGTATGGATATTTACTAAATATATTTTTCTAAAATATAAAGCTCAATTATATTTATTACTTCCTGTGTTTTCTGGATTTTGGTCAGTTTGTGAACCCTTTATTGTTTTACATATCAGACAAGGAAGTACTTTGAGTACTCAAGCATCTGGAATTCGAACCGATGCACATTGCAGCGTGTAAACTTTGGCCCTTAACGCTGCTCTCCTTCCTTCAGGAACACGTCCATCTCAATGGTTGTAGAGACAGTGGGAGAAAACACTGTGAAGTTTGAGGACCAAGCTTTGAGAGAAGGGATCATCCACATGCTCCAAGGCAACAGCAGCAGCAAACCTGTGTGAGTAGCACACACACACACTTTACATACTATAAATGATAATGTGAGAAATTAAATCAAACAATCATGCTGTTAATCGTTCTAACTAAGATTTACTCTGAATAGAGTAGTTGAAATGGAGGGGCGCAGAATGTGTCCTAAAAAATTTTAAACGTGTTTTTCTGTCCCGTAGGCTCATTCATTCTCTGCTGCCGAAGTTCATCAGAGGTAACAGAGGAGCCGAGTCCAAAATGGCAAAAAGCATGAAAGTGGGTAAGTTGCAGCTTATTGTGCACAGACCATCCTGCAGGTGTTTTGGGGGAAACTATTCCTTTTACATGTATTATTTTATTTTGTATGCGTATCACTAAAAGCATATAGCATTATGCACAATTAAAACAAAAATATAAGCGATACATTTGAGAACCATTTTAGAGCCTGGCTCTTCCTACATTATTTTCTATTTATACATTAGCTTTAATTATTTACAAATGAACATGGGACGCTTCCACCTTGGAAATTACAAAAATACAAATAAAGTGTGTGCTGTTAGATACAATTATATAAATCAAGTCAGCTTGAGTCTGATCCTATGGACTATTTTTGTTTTACTTTACTTGGAGGTAAAATTACCTTTCCATAAAATATATATATATTTAATGTGTTATTTTATCCATATAGTGGTGGATGGCTCTGATTTTAACCACCTCATTGTGAGAGCCTATTTTATATTGATCCTTTATCAATGATTACTGCATTAAACTTATAATATCCAAAGGCATCCATCTTAGATAAAGGCGAGCTCATTTGATCAAAGCTTGTTGAAAACATACAGTTTAATTCATCTGTCTCGTGTTTTCCCTTCAGGGTACTCGGAGCGCCCGGAGGTGCAGGCGCTGTCCTTCTTCAGACCCATGTCAGTGAAGCTGGAGCAGGTGGACTCAGGCTCAGAGAAAGGGGCTGACCAGTGGTGGGTGGTGGAGGAATGCTCCCCCGTCGTCGCATACTCCCACCACAAGTGCCACAGCATAGAGATCGTGGTGATCAGCGATAAAGTAAGCCCCTCCAGTCTGGGCTTTCTGGCCGGACACGGGTACGTCACCTGCTTTTTTTTCTTTTTAAACTTAGTTTTTATTTCAGATTTCATTATACATACATGTTCACATTTTGGTCAACAGTTTTTCCATTTTCATTTAGCTGTATCTACATAGCCAACATTAGAAGAAAAAAAATATAGTAATAAAGTACAAAAAGAGATCAATAAAAATAAAAATAGTAAAATAGACATGAAAAGATAAATACATACAAATAATAATAATAATAAAATAAAATAGCAAAGGGGGGGTGGTCATCTGTGTGTGTGTGTGTGTGTGTGTGTGTGTGTGCTAAGGTGCAGGTCAGAACCATTCAATACACTTTGATCAAGAGGCTAAAGCATCACCTGCATTTTGACAGTAAAACGTTACTCATAACTTATGTACTTAATCCATTGTATGTGTATATATTTGAATTATTCCTGCATTTCCTTTGGTTGCTTTATTTATTTTCTTTCTTTTTTATTATGTCTCAAGTATAATTGTGTGTTGTTTTGTTGGGGAAGTCTGGTTCTTTAGATATTATTTGCCAACAACTAGCCTGTAGCTGTTGCATGTGACAAATAAAGCCTTTGAATCATTTCAAATAAAACAAAAGCTACGGCCGCTCCTATCCCAACAACATTCCTCCATACATTCATTACAAGTAGATTAGAATACTGTAATGCAACCTTTGTTTTGTTCCCATAACATATATTGATAAATTGCCTTAAATTAAAGCTGCCAGGCTTTTAACGGGAACAAGAAATAGGGAGTATGTCAGCACAGTTTACCTGCACTGGCTCCCATTATGTTATTATTGATTTTAAAGTTAATTTTACTTTAAGCTTCTAAAGGTTCGTTACTAGCCTACATCCTTAATTCTTTGTCTATTTATAATGCTTCACAGACCCTTAGATCTTCAGCTGCTACATGTTTTTATGTATTCTCTTTGCTTTCTTATAAGAGTTTGAACTACACCACTACAAAAGAGATGCTGTAAAAATAAAGTGTATTATTCTTTTTATAATAAAACTTTTGTTGGTTAGATTGGCTGTTGTGGTTTCACAGTGGCATCTCTCACATAAACGTATTGAACATGTCCTCTGTCTCTGCCCCCCTTCCCTCACAGCATTGTGGGTCTGTACATGTCGGTGGTGCTGGTCGTCGGAAAGTTTGTCAGGGAGTTCTTCAACGGGATCTCCAGGTCCATCATGTTTGAGGAGCTGCCGTGTGTGGACCGGGTCCTGAAGCTCTGCACGGACATCTTCGTTGTCCGGGAGACGGGAGAAATGGAGCTGGAGGAGACGCTGTTTGAGAAACTCATCTTCCTATACCGATCGCCGGAGACCATGATCAAGATGACCAGAGAAAAGAAAGACAGCTAGGGTTGGGCTGCGGAGGGTGTCACGACTGCACACCCATCACTCAAAATGGATGTATTAGAGCAAATAACCTTTGGTGCAGTAATGTCCTTTATTTGTATTAAAGTGAACAGCAGGTGGAACCTGTGATAAATGATCCAATTGTAATCAATCTGATGAATATCTGAGTGAGATTGTGAGTCCCATCATCACCTTTGGGTAAAAAGAAAGCAGAGCATCTTTTAAAGCGCTTCTCTAAAAAAAAAAATCACATGGTTTTCATACCTTTTACATGTGATCAGTTTCACTAATTTAAATAATTGAAACAATGATCTGTTAGTTAACCAACACTAGAATTCCTAGCAAAAAGCTAAACGAGTATTTTCTATCATACAGAAAAACAATGACATGTTTCAGAATACTTTTAAAGTCACTAAACTATAACACCAATTACATTTAGTTACAGTAAAACAATGAAAGCGTGCCAGTTTTTTTGCATTTGTTTTTTTACTTCCAGCCCACATTGCAATGCATGCATTTTGGATTCAGGTTTTTACTAGAACAGTATTCCCCAACTCAGATTCTGGCAGGATCATCAACATACCATTGATAAACTCATGGTTAACACACACATACCTCTGTAAATACCATGTTTCTGTATACTACCATGTAAACTACTGCACTGATTTATTTATACCAAAATAAAAATTATTATAGACAAATGTTCCAGTGTCTCTTTGTGCAGTTCTAGAAATGCAAGAATACAAGGAAACAAAATGTATTTCCGATATTCATCTTTAATACAATTTAAATTACAAATGAAAGAGAAAGGAGAGGAATTTCATCCACGTCATCTTGATGTCATCCATCTTTCTTCTCTGCAGTGTGCAGGACAGGACAATAAAGGACCTCACAACTCATGGGGAAACTATCAACATCGGATTCTCAAATCCTGGAGGGAAACAGAGAAAGTACAGAAACATTACTGAAAATATGTCCTCATGAAAATTATTTTGCATCCCAGACAGAACAAAGGCATCATTCATATCAGTGACTGAAGGTTTGGAGTTGATCTACTTGCAAAGTAGGGGTGCAAAGACGGGTTGAGAGCAATAATGTCTGGCGGACACTTCCATGGGTGTAACACCATTAAATGTAAGGTAGGTTGGGTATCACTTAAGATGTTATTATAAAGGTTTATGCACTATTGATTTTTTAAATAATTCGAAAATGTTAAGTACACTGAAACAATGACCTTGTCTTGGTAAAGACTTAAGCATGAGATAAGACTGTTGTGTTATAGGTTTTATTCAAACAGTCCAATTAATAGTTCATTTGAGGTTGTGATTTTGCATAAATAAACATATGCCTGTTTCCAAAACAATGCATCCAGAAAATATGTTTTAAGTTGAAATACTCATAGCATATACATAAATTATGTTCACCTACATTGGGTACAGTAAAATTATGTGCAGCAATATTATTTCAATATCAACACAGACTTATGCAAAGGTCCACATGTATGAATTGTGTTTTACAGTATGAAAATGTCCTGTTGGTTTTCCGAGAGCGCAAGCCAGTAGTTTTTAATAAAAATGTTCAATACTCTAAACGGCTGGGGACAAATAAACTAGCATAATATCTATTCTGAAATTCATTTAAATCAAACCTATTTCCATATCCCTACATTGATTGTTTCTTGCCTATTTACTGATGTTTACTTCAATTCAGTACAGTAAGTTTATAAGTCTTTAATAAGCTTTATGCGTTATGTAGTTCGTGAGACTTTTTCAGATCTATACGCGTTTTATATACTATTTGCTTAGTGTCTCGGACCCCTACGTTTCATATAGCTTTTAAGGGAGTCCCACTCCCATTTCACATATCTCCATTGTATCAGATTGTATTAATCCGTATACACCTCTCTGAAAGGGGCTATTAAGCAAATAAGAAAGGACATCGTCACTACTGCACTGCATAGGATGTAGTAGCTTCTAATTCTCGTACATTGGAATGGTGGATTACTATAAACTAAATGCTATACATACTTCCTCCACACAAGTAACCTGGGTCAACATTCAATGTCACAGGCAGCTGCCTCTCCTTCCAACATTTAGAGGCCATGGTGCATGTATTTGCTGTCATATCTGGTGTTGTTTACTTATTGTTTAATGCACTTACATGCTGCTACTTTAGCTTTGTATACTTGGACGCTGGACTCCGCGGCCTTCAGCGCCTCGGCTTTGAGCTCCGGCTTCATCGCAGCCCGCAGCGCGGTGGCGCAGATAGACGAGAAGCGGATGTAGCTGCAGAGAGGACACACTTGTTAGCCGCATGCTAAAGGACACTGCTGACCTCCAAAAAACACAACTGCTTCTTAAAAAACAAGTAATATATCCTATGCATTATACGATGCAGAGTCATATTTCGGAGGGTTATCGGCTAACGTAAGCGTCCTAAATTAAACACATGGGACTTAAAGCTAGCTAAAGCTACTATCGTATGTTAGCTATGTTGCCTGCTCAGTTATATAATAGACAGAATAGCTACAGGGACTTTTTAAAGTACCATGTTATCAAGCCAAAACCTTAAATAGAATAAATTGGTTAACACTCAGCACAAAGCGAAATCTGCAAATGTATAATATATATTTTTTTTTACCTGAGGCCTGCCTGTCTCCAGTATGCGACCATCTTGCCTGTGTTATACCTTCAAGGACAGTTAGGATCTGTGCGTGATGACGTAATGTATCTACGTTGTCTATCCCCACCCAGCGCCATAGATATATGCCTATCCCCACCCAGCGCCATAGATATATGCCTATCCCCACCCAATTAGAACCGTGCCTAACCACGACTGACAGCTTAGACCTTGGCTTGTCCTGCCCCCAGTAATTATTTAATATACAAGTTTGTTTTATGATTGTTAATGTTCAATATGATCCTATAGTAAGCTATACAAGTCGCATTTACACATATTTAAATATATATACATATGTACACATATTTATAGAGAAGAATGTGTTCAAAGAAGTCAGCAGTGGATCCAACGGTATTGAATAGTCTACTGCTGGAATCGAAAAGTAAAAATATAGCACTGTAGCCTAAACATACCATGCATGTAAAAAACAGTATAACACATTTTATATTTAGTAGTCCCCCGGTAGCCATGTTTATAATGCAATAGTGCAGAAAGGTGCAAGCAGCTGGTACGTGAAACACTCAAGAAGAGTCTATGAGTTGAGAAGTCTGAAGGCCTGATTTGTTATTGTGTTTTTTATCCTGACCCTGAGACTGTTATACAGTCTTTGTAGCTTGTTGTGTAGAGTGCAGCTCTTGTCCCTGCCTGCAGGGGAGGGTCGTCAGGGTCGTGCAGGTTTCTCCTTCAGCTCCTCCTTCCTTCCTCACCTCGGTCACGCTGTCATTAAGCGACCCGGCTCCCGAGCCTTGACGGAAATCCTAACAAAATGAAGATCTGGGCGTCAGAACACATTTTCAAGTGAGTAGTTTTGTGTCTGTAGTTGTGCATTATAATCATGTGTCTGTTTAGCAACTGGTTTCCTCTTTTATAATAACGTTTTGTGTGGCTTCACCGGGCAGCTGCTAGCCTCTTAGCTGCTAAGGTTGTACATAAGTTGGGTAACTTAAACTCCAAATACCTGCCGTGAAATACCTAACTGTTTGTCGTTTTTTATTAATAAATGTAACCTTCACTCGCCATTTAGTTTCACATTTCCTCAACACATATCTCGGTAGTGTGTGTGCACTAGAGGTAAACCGCTTTAGCAGAGTTAACTAGTTTAGCTTCTTTTATTAGCCTTGAAGCTAACGCTGGCTATCAGATGCTGTAACGGTAGTTGCTCAGCCGTGTGCGTCATAATAAATGTTATTAAAATGTTTCAGGCTCAAGTTACTTTGATGGTGAAATAATTCGTGTGGTTTTCTTGAGTTCCGTATTTATCACAAGGAAGTTATCTGCCGCTGAGTATGATACATAGGTATGTTATTATGTACCGCTGTCATACAGTTACATAACGGGGTAGGCTGCTGTCGACTAGTCAGCCTGCGGTGAAAATACAACATATTGTTTATATTTCGGCTCTTCAGACAGATGGCGTTCAGTGTGTAACAATAGTCGAAACGCTTCTGTCCATTACCAGAAGTTTCCAGCGAAATCCATGTTGATGAATAAGATTATGCTGTGGTAGGGGGCGTTCCTCCCCCTGTCTGCTCAGTCTTTGGTTATTCCTCCATTTTGATTGTGATTATGTTCACTCTTTGTAAAAACATCTCTGCAGTTGTTCATGTTGTTACTGCTTTTTGTACGTATATTTACTAAGACTTATTCAGGATTATTTTTACAGTGGATTTGCATAAGGCTGAACAAATGGGAGCAGCTTGGCTTTAAAGGTCCCCTATTATACTGTTTTTCTTCAATATTATAGGTCTCAGATATACAAAACATGTCTCTGAAGTGTTTGAGTCAAAATACCAAACAGATCATGAATTGTAGCATCCCATAAACCCCTTTGTTTCAGCTCTGTTTCAAAAGTGTGGATTCTCTGTCTTTTACTTTAGATGAAAAAAGGCGCCACTCCCCACGCCCCTCTGAGAGATATTTGGTAAAAAAGAACACAATGGTGCTCTAGGAGGAGATTCAGCTCATTTTCAGACAGGTTTTTATATAAATGGATCAGGACAAAAAGTAAGATAATCGTTTTTCCTGAAACTTTCAGAATCTCTTAACACAGAGGGGACACATGTTTATGTATAAACGACATGAACAAGTGGATTTAGCATGATAGGTCCCCTTTAAGCTTAGATGATCTTCAAAGTGATTTTTTACTAAGTGGTGAAAATGGGCTGAATGACATCAATACATCTGATTTCCAACATGTTGTCGCATACAGTAGCTTTGTGGTATTGGTAAGTCCATATGTCACCAAATGTATTACAATGCAAGTATTCCCTAGGGACTTTCTGTTTCTAAATGTAATCTTGATTTAAACAGCCACCCATGGGAGACGGTGACCAAGGCGGCGATGCAGAAGTATCCCAACCCCATGAACCCCGGTGTGTTTGGTGTAGATGTCCTGGACAGAAGTGTGGACACAGAGGGACGGTTGCACAGCCACCGACTGCTCAGCACAGAGTGGGGCCTCCCCAGCATGGCCAAGACTGTAAGTTAGATCATGAGAGCACTAGAGCTGCAGTGAAGCTTTATTTTTGATTGATAACATACTTTTTTTTATTACAGTGTTTATATTTGTGACGCCCTCAATTTTCCGCATTATGTAAATCCTCTGCTCAGATTTCATTGCTCGAGCTGTCCCTCTCAAGCAATATTTAAAATGCCCACGAAGAGGAAATACATTAATTGTTGAGGAAATATTTTCCTAAGCCCATAACTTTGACCCAGTTTATCACTTTCTACTCCCTTCGCTGAGCACAGGCCTGCGACCTTGGGAAGCTGCGCTCTCTCAGAGTAGTTTTTCCTCCTTATTCCTGTCGGTTGGGGTCAGCTGATAGAGGTGTTATAGTGATTTGTTTGTTATGTCTTGTCTTGAGGTGGTTTTGGCGCAGTGGTTAGAGCATTGGTCATCAGATCAAGAGGCGTTGGTGAACTCTAGTTTGAATCCCGCCTCAGCCGCCACTACGCCAGGCCGTTGTGTCCTTGGGCAAGACACTTCACCCGCATTTGCTCCTGTGGGTAATGTCCACAGTAATGACTCTTACATGACTAATATGTGTAATGTGTAATTGTAAAGCGCTTTGAGCACCTGTAAAAGCTTTCTAATAAAAAATGTAATGCATTATTATTATTATTATTATTGTCATGCAGTATGTAGATTATTCTCTCAGAGCTAGCTAAATAGATGGGACTAGTGTAGAGCTCTTCAGAATTCCTTAGGCGGGAGCTGTGTCACTTTGTGTCTACAGCAAATGTCTTTGTCAATTCTCTGTCCGTAACTTCAAATACGTCTTCAGTATTTGCCATCAAGTTCCAGCTCTCCCGTGTCTAATTGTGTTTTGACTCCTTGCTCCAGAAGTTCCCATTTTATTCATGATGATTATTATTGATCTGAGATATTCAGACTGTTGGACACATTTTAATTTGAATTATCCTCGCATTCCTGGTGTTAGCAGAAATTGGTGCCTGACTCATCTCGAACAATATAATGTCAGGATTTGAACTAATCCTGAGCTGTGTCCTTTTCCTGCAGATGTTCGGGGTAACACGGTCATGCACTTATGTTGAGGAACATTCTGTGGTGGACCCCAAAGAAAAGAGCTTTGAGTTGAAATCTACAAATGTAAGTAGATCTGGCATGGATCATTGTTATTACTTTATACATAACACTTGTGGCATTAGTGCCAATATTTAGTAGGAGAGAAAACGAATACATTAACTTTTCTGTGCAATTGATAACACAAAGTTATACATGGACCTCAAGTGTTGTTTCTAGTGTTACTTTTTATATCTGGAAAGACAGCATTTATTTGTTTTTGTAAAACTTTTTCACTGATTAAGGCGAGACACCCCAGGTGAATAGGGTAATTTTTTTAACTTAAAGGTATCAGCTAGAAATTTCTCCAGTTAATTACTTACAATAAGGCAATTGTCTTTTGTATTACAAGTTTTCTGAAATAGCATGTTTAAATATGCAAATTAGCCATTATCTCATCAAATATGTGCATATTTTAACACATTTCAGGAATCGAAATCTGAACTTTGGATAAAGCCAGGTTAAAAATTCTTGTTTCATTTTGTAGTCATATTAGTATTTAAGGCTTTTACAAAAGGGATTTTGGATATCTCTTTTTATCACTCCATAAATCAGAAAATACTGTCAACAGCCCTAAAATATCAATTTTTGCCATGTTTTTAGGTATACAATGTTGTATAATTCAGGCTATGAATGATATATGAACAAACCCTTCTGTAAAAGCCTTCATAATATTGATAGGAATATAACTGGAAGGTTTGGTGTGTCTACCTGCTACTGAAGTTGAAATTTCGAACTCAGAGTAGGAGAAAAAACTCATTTTGAGAAAACGACCTTTTAAGATTGCAGCGAGGCGCTAGCTAAACCCTCCTGTTCTTTGGATGACAGCTTGCGCCTCGAAGCTCTCCGTGAAGGTATTTCATGTTCGGGGGTCATTGTTTTTTGTATAATCTTGCTTCGTGCAAGTGACAATTGTTGTCATCTTCTCTGTAAACTTTTTTTTCGCCGTTCTTTTGCCATTTTGAGATTTACATTTCTAGCGGAAAGCTAACCAGGAAGTGTTTTAGCACACCACGTGACGCATCTGAACGAATCACGTTGTCTGAAATTGACACCAGCCAATGAGATTTCTTTCTTGGTTTAAGACCCCTTTGTGCTTTCACGATTGGTTGCTGATACAAAGGAAATGACCATATTTGGATCCGAT